CAGCATTCATCCGAGTCGCGAAACGAGACGAGCTTTCGATACGAGCGCGTGTATGGGTGTTCCGAGATATCGACGATTATAGAATTTAATAAATCAATTCGATGCCTTAATCCTATAACAATCCAAGTAAAATTCACCGTGGAAAGCGTGCATGCGAATAATATGGAAGATAACCTCGTTGCGGACTCGCGAACGATGAAGAAATTGAAGTTAAAAGTTCCGACGAGCCAGCGGGACAAATATCCCCTTTAATTAAGCGAATACGCTCGCGACACGATCGAGGAAAATTCGATAACGAAGGACTCTCTTCTTGCCCCGGTCGGGGCACCGGAGGAAATTAAGCAACGGATGATTTATTCGGTCGGTCAAATGAAACAGCGCCGGGGCGGGAGGAGCTTATTCGTTCATTTGGCAAATATCGAGCCCGTAATCTTGGACCCCGGTCCGGAATAGCGTGTGCCGTCGCAACGGCTGACAGACAGAAAAAGGAGAGAAGGAGCGAGAAAGAGGGTATCAAACGCGGACTAACCAAGGGTTGGGTGGTTGGTCTGACGCAGCAAACAGAAAATAATACCGCGGCCATTGTTCCCGTTTCGTTTTTCTGTCTCGCTTCATCCGCACGCCGCTATCATCGGGCCTCTCCTACAGGAACCCTCCTCCATTGTCGAGTTTCGCTAGGTCCCTTTACCTCTCTCATCATTTTCCCCTTCATCTTCTTCCTTTCTCTTCTGCATTCTCCCGTCAGTCTCACGCTCCGAGTCTCTTCTTCGTGTCTCTGCTCACCCTCGCCCAGCGAATGGCACACGTATTCCCATATTTCAGTCGGCCCCGAACAGCTACGGAGAACGGAATCCGCGACAGATTGGAGCATTTATTCGTCTAAAAAAAGAACCGACGAGCCCTCGGTCTCTAACACTTTCTCTCTTCCTTCCATTCCTAATAAGATTTTAGAGGATAATTTTATCCTCTATCCATTATTTGCGTCCTACATTATCAACTTCCTATCATCAAAAAGTACTCTCGTACACGTTCAAGTGTACAAGGACGCGATGGCCAGTTTTTCATTTCACGCGAATCGCGTCACGGACGGTAAATCAATTTTATTAACTCCTGTCGCGGGGAATATGTCGCATCTTCGATTTTTCCGCCGCATCGGTAGAAGCGCGCCTCGTATTTCGTTCCCGCTTTGATCCGTCTCGCGTGGTAATACGTGTAACCCCGTTCACGGGCTCACTTTCAATCCACGTCAAAGACTATGACTCCGCATCGTTTTACAATCTCGCTTTTCCCCCGTTCGAGTCGCGCCAAACTCACTCGCGATTGTTTAACCGGTTGAAGGATATGTTTATAAATCAACGATCGCGACCCTTTCTGTTTTTCCTCTCATTACCTTTTTCCCTTCTGCGTCCGACTTTCTCGCGTGTGCACACCGTCATTTCACCACCGAATCATAACGGGGAAACGAAACAGTTGGATGCATCGAAACGTTTGTTCGATCGATGGAAAGAGAACAATCTGTCGCTCAGACGCATCCCCCTGAAGTATGTACATTACTCTGTCGAACGAATTAATTCACCGGGTAACTTTCAATGGCGTATCGAGAACGTTGACTCGATCTGGTTGCTGTTTCTTTATCCGAATTCTACGTTCGCTGCGCGTTTTATTAGATGAATCAACAAAAAATATTGTTTTATTTTATTTCGCCCCGTTACGCTGGCGCAGGGGAACGTATTCAAGCTGCAGATTCCAACCTGTGACCGATAAGGGTAACAAAGCGAGTCGTGATTCAATCTCCTGCGCGTTTCGTTGGAAATCGCTGGATTGGATCGTTTAATTGAAAAATTCTTCGTAAACAGTCTAGTCTTAACGAGATTTTCGTTACTGTCGATTACCTGTGACGTTATCGGCTCCGCTCTCGAGTAACACCGAGAAGCACAGAAACAGCAGGCGCGATTATTGGGTCGCGAGCCCCGAGTCGAGTGAGAAATCATTTACTTCCGTCTTGTCGGCTGCTTTGGTCGATTCGCTGCGAACGAGAAACGTTTTCGATTCCAGAATCCGAGTCATTCATCCCAGTTTGATATGATTGAGTAAAATAATTGCTATACTTAATGTAATTTATCGTTCAATTTTCCCAAACACAAGAGAGCCTGCCTTCGCAGCGTTAAATTGCCCTGAAAGCGGCGGGGCAATGCGATTAAAATTGTTGTCGCGCTTTGGTCCCCCATTAGCGAGAAACAGTCGTTCCTCGATTTTCTACTTAAATCTCGTTAGCGGAAGTCGGGTGACGCCGATCTCCGAGCACGACGCAACGACTGGCGGAATCGTTCCTTTTGTGCTCTCTTGTTCCCAGTTCGACAATTTCGTCCTGGCGAAGGTAATATCGCGAGAGGGCTCGGAATGAGAATTACTTTTAGCCGAGGCATCGGGGCTACGGGTTTCTCGCCCCTTTGCGCCAGAGGTCGGCTTAAGAGGAGGCCAAGCAATGACCGATAAAAGTAGCTCGGCTGCACTACGAGTTCGATTCAATTTCGCCAACTTTCAGTCGCGACGCGCCAAGTGCTGTCATCAAACTCGTATCCACTTTGCAGCTCGGCCTGCGAAAATCCACTTTCTGGTCTTTGAGCCTCTGTCGCTGCTCGTTACTTTATTCCGTCGAACGAGACGGATGGACAGCTGAGGATGAAAGGTTTGCGGAAACGCTCGTCGATGTTGCTACCTCGCGTGATATTTATCAATATTTCATATTTATATTTACTTTGCAGGCGATTCAATTTGACCAAGCACATCAGCTTTTATAAGGAACGAACGAACGAATCAGTGTCGATTTTGTCGGACGACACGATAAAACTGTCTCCCCTGAAATTGTTCTCTCTTTTCCCAACGTGAGAAAAATTGCCGTAATCGCTGGCCATTACAGCGATGGCGCGACGATAAGGGTAAATTATCTTCGGATTAAAAGTGTCCTGCGCACCGGAGACCGGTGTCCGACAATTTCTAAGGGATCTCGAAGGATTCAGGGCGATACTCCATTTTTCTCGGTGCCCGCCACGGAATAGGATCGAGTCGCCAAGTGATTTATCACGATTCCGGCAAGTTCGAAGCAGAAGGAAATCCAAAGGCGCTGGATATAGCCACTGGGGTTGCTCGGACCTCCAAGAAGGATAACCGGAAGGAAGTGACTTGTCTTGGCAAAGCTTAAGGCTGGGTTCTGGTTTGGATGAAAAATCGACTTTTTTAATAATTGTATTTTCCGAGAGCCGTACATCTAAAAATTATGTCACCTGTATTTTTGCAAGGCTACCGCTACTTGCTACAAAATCACACGACGATTTGTTGCCAAAATAAACCTACCTAAACAAACCGGAACACAGCCTCGATGCTCCCCAGAGACTCCAACTAGAATGGTATCGATTCACAACCAACGTACAAGTACGAGCATGATTTCTGCTTCGAAGATTGAACAAATTTGGTTTCAGTCGGACTTGTTGCTGTGGTGAGAAAAGCCAGATTGCAGGCGCGAACGATATCTGGGCGCTGCAAACCGTATGACTGAGCGCGAATGACAAGTGGTTGGAACACAGCGGACGAAATCGAGTGAACGTTTATAGCGGGGCGTCGGTTGCGTGAAAAGAGTGATGAAGCGTGAATGGATTTTAAAAATGCACGTTGATTTTTAGGTGCACTGAAACGCGTGCAGTGCGGTGAAGGATCGGGAGAATCGAGGTCAGGGAAGCATGGAGTGCCCCGAACGAAAAAGTATTTACAGGAAACAGAGTTGTAGTTTGAGATTACCGTACTCTAGTTCAGCTTTTGTACCTACGCGTGTACATACATTTTTCAGGCGAGTCGTGTAATTTACTCGTTTCCAGGAAAATAATTATTAACACATGGATACAATTCTCTGGCTTGATTTTGTAATATTAAGCTGTTTTATGATAAAGAAATAGTGATTTTGCCGAGAACGAGTAGAAAACGACTTTAGACATTTCTCAAAATTTTCACTTTTTCAACATGTTTGAGTAGCGAATTGAGTATACAACGTGACACATCAGGGAGGCACATGACACCCGCAGCGAATCCCTGATTCGGGAAACAGATCGAGGGAATTAAAAGTCGCGGGCCGACGACAGACGTAATGAAGCGGAAGCCCTGGCAAGAATCACGGTCTGCCTGGTGCGGAAGCTTCCTGTTAATATAGGACACCCTTAAATTCCCGTCGTCGGACGGAAAGAGAGAACCCGGCGCGGCACGTTCGCGTAACGACCCGTTGGGGTCTAAATCTTGATAAACAGCTGCAAAGATTGTTAACGTTCTCCCATTATTTAGTGGACGGACCGAGTTCTCGCGAGCCCGGAAAGAACCGGAGGAAAGGAAAGAATTAGAGGGAAAGACGTCGAAAGAATGAAAGAGTTTGGATGCCGGCCAGACTCTTGGGGACTTGAATAGTCGATCGCCAGAAAGGAGGGTCGTTTAGGGCTACGCTAAGAGCATCGCGAACGTTTTGTCGCGGGAATGATGGAAACGAATGTTTCGAGACTCTCTCCTGGAAATGGAGCTCGCGCCGTACCAGCTTCGGTTTATTAATTCGAATGGACGACGAACGCGCATTTCATAGGACGTGGAAAAATTTCTTTCTTCTTGGCGAAGACTAAATACGCGACTTCGACAACGGAACTCGTCGAGCGAACAGGCCTTGTTCGGCTGTCTGCGCGTCGTGCCAAGCGACTGCATAAAAAACGAAGAATATCGCGGATTTCCAGCCATCGAGGCGGACTTATATACTCGTAGACGTAATCCTGATCCTTGAACCACACGCGTCTGCCAACGCGGAACGCGGCTATGACGCGAAACGCGGCGATGACTCGATGGATAAAGGAATGTTCGTTTGGTAGCGAGGACGTCGAAGCAGAAATTTGTTGGTTACATTATCGGGTTTCAGTGATTACGAAGCATAGAATCCTGTATCTCTGCAGGGATAAAGAGAAAGTAGTACTCACCGAGGAAGACGCTCTCTTCGATGTCGTCGGCTTGCAGGTCGAGGTCAAGTTCGACCGCTCCGTTGGTGGGAGCCAGATGGCTCCTCTTCGCGAGGTCCATCAGCTCGCTTCGAAGGTCCAGGTGGCCCGTGGCCAGAAGCTCGGCCAACAGGGTCAGGTAAGACGAGGTGAGGGAACTGGGACTGGTAGCGCGTAGACAGCCGGGCAACCAGAATCCTAAGAGACTGTAGGGAACCACCGGTACCGCTCCGGTACTGACGAACCCACCGTTCAGGAGTTCGCCGCACAACATAGGTGCAGCGATGACCTCAGCTCCTCCCTCGTGACCTTGGTAACGCCTCGGTGGCGGCTACCTGCGTCAACAAATCCAAGGGACGTGGGATTAATCGAAGCTGCAGGATTACACCCCTCGACGGAGTCGAATTAGGAGGAGGCGATAATCGTTTTAAATCGTCGAAGAGATCAACGTTCCGACGACGAGAGTTCCCTCTCAGTTTCGAGTCTCCTTTAAACGCGACCCTTCCTCGCCTCGCGAAACACGCGTTGGGATCAAAGGGAAGCAAAATTCTTATTTAGATCCCGTAGTTCATAGTGTATCGATTATCACTTTTCACTTGAGTTATAGCGACCAGTGCTAAAAATGGCTTGCATGATAAGCCCAAAAAACCTTGAATACGGATAAAAGCCTAACTTCAATAGGACGACGCATTATATCCCAGACTTATACCTTGGACCAGACGTTTATAAAGCTTCCGATGCAACGTCTGCTACGGTAGACACGGTTTTAAGGGAAGCTGTAAATCAGACCGAGACAAAGAGCTCGCAGAGACGATATACCGTTTACAAAGAGAAATATTCGGTACGTGCGCCGCGTTGGATCGCCTTCCCCGGTAGTATGTAACGTAAGGTCGTTACTCTTTCGGAATCCAGGCCGCGAAACCGAATAATATGCTGTAACGAAAGGCGCCATGCGCGGTTGAGAGCAAAACTTCGAGACCATCTGCATAACAAAAGAGTCGGCATAACACTGGACACGGAGGAGCCAGAACAATAAGATTCACGGCTCACACGTTTCTGCACAATTATCGCGAAATGCGCGCGAATTAATGTCACGGGTGCGTATGCGTTTACACTCACACTCGTCGATGATACACGAACGAGCTTCGAGTGACATAATTCGGAGGCGGTGTTGTTCGCGCGATACCGAAAATATTGGATTTTAATCGTGCCATCCAATCATCATACATCATAACGAAAGCATTTTCCTTTTTTCACACAAAAAATTGCATTGGATTTTATCACCGATCATAATTACTGCACCACCCAATAGACGATTCACTCGTTGGCTCACTCGCAGAAGTCGATCGCGCCCGGTTGCGCGGAATTGTATACGTCCCTATCGTCGATTTTCTCAGGAAATATTTGACACTTCGCGACACGTGTCCCGATCGTAAAGTTTTCGTCGAGGAGGCACGCGAAATTGAACCCACCCGTCATCTTTTCGCGTACACGCCGACCTAGTTCGATACCACGGCTGGAGGAAAACTTCGTAGAATCACTTTCGCTCGAAAATTTACGGATATTCTCGCGTGAACAAGCAGAGATCCTCGATCGCGAGAGCCAGGGCAATGCGACAGCGAACCGGCGTAAACGGACCGCGACGAAGAGAAAACCAGAACCAACCCAATGAGAGCGAGGACATTCTCCTGTAGCCGACCACTCGTCGTCGTCTGGCTGGAGTGACGTCACTGGTGATTCGCGTGGGCGTGGATACGCCGGATGATCTCACGTTCGCCGTGCTACACCAAGAATTCGCTGCAACCTACTGCGAGCTATCGCCCGATCGACCCGTGCCTTCGATCGTAAATAGAATCGTACCGAACGTAAATCTCTCCAGCTTAGAAAATATGAACGCGAAATTGCTCGTAGGAATAGAGTTTCGGATAGACTGCTAGGTCAAGATTGAAATATTAAGTGTTTCATGAATCGTGGGCACGAGTTCGAAGATGAATTCAGTACAGAAAAATAAGAAGAAAGTTTGCGCAAGCCAGTGCTCCAAAAACTGTGTCACGAGAGGCTTGTTATACAAGGGGGTGAAAATAAATGCCTCTCGTAGCGAGACCTTGCACTTTATAAAACGATTTTTGGGAGTTACGATATATATAGTGAGCTCTTGGATGCGCTAAATTAATTTGTTAACGAAGATGTGAGAGGCGTCGCATGGAGACATGACGCATGCCACTGTCACGGCCCTGAGAACATACACATACGTAGGCGCGCAACCCATTTCTTTCATAGATCAGAAGAGTGGGCTGTAATAGATCAGATACGAGAAACGCCCAGGGAAATGATCTCCCGTTAATTCGATCGTCTATGCACGGACTATCTGCGACATACATATTTCATGGGTATTCCGATTACACCGCGAGAAATCGCTGTGGAGCTCGAGTTCCAGAAATTCCTGATCGGAATTTCGAGCGCGTACAGAGCGCATTGGCGTAACACCGCGACGGTCTACCAACATCACCATTTTCACCGCGTCTTTTTTTCACAAATAACGCATAAATGGTTGTTTGCGATCGTTTTCGATTTTTTACCTGTTGCAACATGCCATTTTACCTCCTCGAACGTACCTTAGAAGATTCAATTTTCTTTGAGACAAACTCTGCAAATGTTCTCGACTCGAGCAGTCATTTTTTGGTAAAATGACTACAATAAATAGTAAAAATAATATAAATCATGTTTTGTTTGAAAAAAAAACCCAGGGAATCTACGCCGCTGCGAGACGAGTACCAGCTGGAGGGGCGACGTTTTATTATGTACTATTTTCGTGAAAAAGCACATAGAACAGCACGCGCGTGAACGGAAAATACCATCGAGATGGCGTTGCGGAATCTTGGATACGGAAACTACCGGGTCCATGACTTCATTTTGAAAATCGTTACAGAATGTAACCAACGTTATTCCAGTCGAGGTAACGCACGGGACGATATATTCTACGCGATAAATTCGTTTAATGATGCCGTTACTGAGAATTAATGAACTGCAGCGTATGTATGATGCATTCAATAATGGATGCTCTTGTTTGTTACGCCACTATAATTTTAAATTTTGTTGCGACGGATTTGACTCGTATGTTTTTTGTTTTTAACTGTCAGAAAGTATTGCGATATATTTTCCGATAATTTTAGTATTGAAATAAAAGACGTCCAGGAATGAGTTAGAATAAAAAAGAAAAAATATACATGTCGGATTGAGTAACCTCCTCATTCTCAAAGTTGGTTAAAAATATAACGGACACGAACGACTGTTTCTTCATACTCTCGCTCGGATTTGCGAAACATAAATTTAAGTTTCACTTTTGGCGTAATACACCTACCCGTTCGACGATATCCGTAAAATAAACGTTGACGTGCATAGCATTTCGTCGGCAACGGCCAAAGCCATCATTAATATTAAATAATATTCCGATTCTGGTCGGTTAACAAATTTCAAATTGGTCACCGCGAATACGGTTGAGGCAAATATTAACAATACATTTTCCCTGTCGATACAGCGCAATATTTACACGACCTGAAAGAGAGAACGTTATAAGAGCGCATTGCCGCGCGGGAATAAACAGTTTCCTCGTCTTTCAAACAGAAATACGATACCGTGCGCGAGTATAATGAGAACGAACGCTTTTCAAAATTTCGTGTTTGATGAAACGCGTCGAGTGCAACATATAGCGACGCTCGAAAATATCAGGGAAAAAGGGTGAGTTTTCAAAATTGTTAAAAATATATAAAACAGAGATACTGATATTTTTTACGCGTCGGATACTTTTAAACAGACCTGTACGCAGTTCAAGAAGCAAAGCAATCGCGGGCCGCGATCGAGGCGTGCAAAATTGATAAGCGCGGCAACGGGTTAAGTTGAATCGATAGCGGAGTTAAAACTTACGCAGTCGAAATTACGGTGTTCAGGCTCGAATTCCTTTCTGGGTGATTGCACGCGATTCGGACAACGTTCATGATCGTCGAATTACAACCGTTACCGATACGAATGTATCATGAACCGACTAGGAATACTGCGATACCGGCACTGAGAAGTTTGCTGATAACACTGGGGAACAGGAGGGGTTGAAGGAAGCCATCGACCAGGAGCGGCAGACGAACGGGCGCCGTGTCCACCCCCCACCCCGACCCACGCCATCCTCCTTTTATTCAGCGGCTTATCCAAAACTGGAACAACCCCTTGCTCAGCTCGCGAGCACGAACGTGCGAGTACTGGCCACGAGATATTCCTTCCATCTTGGCGGCCATTCATAAAACAACCTTAAACGACCGCTTTTAACCGCTAAATACAAGGTGATTTACGACGGTATTTGCGCTTTCCAGCGAGGAGTTCATGGTTCGTTTAGTTCATGGTGAAAAGAAACGGTCCGCGGATTAAATTGACCAACGTGTCGGGTACGCCCCAGCTATCGACTAGACCAGCGTTTCTCAAACATGCTCGTGTCGCGAAAAGCTTCCATTCGAATGCAGTTCTTCGATGTAACGCAACTACGAATATCGCGAATTTAATTCCATTAATTTTTACCTTGGTAACATGTTTATCCGAGCAAGATAACCGAAACATGGACAAAATAAATTATTCCCCGGCCATATTCCTGCAATTGTTGTTTGCTCTTATTTACCGTCCATACATGGCCTCCATATGCTGCCCGATGAGCAACGAATTCGATCGTACCTATGCCATTATAATTTTCATTATCTGCAATGTAAAGCTACTGGCGTAGAATCGAGTTAACGCAAACATGCGTCGCATATTGCAGAGTTACATTTCTGTTATTCATTTCTCCGGGATTAAATTTCAATTATCCGAGCGACGAATCGCCGAAACAAAGATAACCGGCTTCCGTCAAATTTCCGCGTCCCGATTTCGCGTGGCGCGGCGCGGACGGGAAAAGGATTACGAATTTTCCAAACTCATCGGCGTCGTTCGCTGCCACGAGTTCCTCCTATCCCACCTCTGTTCGATTCCCGAGGGCCGTTGAACTCTTGGTGCATTCACAAAGTAGCTGAAGTTCGCGCAGGTCGATAGATATATAAACGAGTCGTAAGTTTCCCGGTGCAGGACTCCGTGAGCACTCTCGCGAGCACGTACACACGAATCATGGAGGATCGTTTCAACCCTCGTGTCTGGGTAAACATCGTCGACGCGTCGTTACCAGCTCCAATCTCGGCTGTGCCCGCGAAAATCCGACGGGACTCGATATCACCTGCTGGGGAAAATCAGTGACGTCGTCGAGCATCGTCGAGCTCGTAAATACATGGTGAACTCGAGTTCCCGATATCGCGACGTGGCTCGT